CATTTCTCCCCCCTACTCCTCTCCCTCATCTTTCCTCCCCTCCCCCCCTCACTTCCAGGCAGAACCTGTTCTGCCCTTATCTCTAATTTTGTTGAAGAAAAGGCATAAGCATAATAAGGAAGACAAAGTGTTTTTGCTAGTTGAGATAAGGATAGCTATACAGAGATATTCCTAGTATTGCTTTCGTGTACGCATGTGTTACAACCCATGTTGATTCTTCTCTAACTAATCTTTACACTGGTTCCTGATCCCCTTCTCATGTTGACCTCTGTCGCGTTAAGGTTTTCTGTATTAGTTCCTCTGGAGTGCAGACATCAGATGCTTTCATGTTTTGGGTTTTCTACCTATTCCTATGTCTCCCATATGTGCTCTTCCCTTGTCATGTGATCCAAGTTCAGCCATATTACTGCATGTGCCCTAGATCTAAAGTCTGCATATGAGGGAGAAAATAGGATTTTTGGTCTTCTGAGCCTGGCTAACCTTGCTCAGAATGATGTTCTCCAGTTCCATCCATTTACTTGCGAATGATAAGATTTCATTCTTCATGGCTGAGTAGAATTCCATTGTGTATAAATACCACATTTTCTTGATCCATTCGTCAGTAGTGAGGCATCTTGGTTGTTCCATAACTTGGCTATTGTGAATAGTGCTGCAATAAATGGGTGTGCAGGTGCTTCTGGAGTAACCTGTGTTGCATTCCTTTGGGTATATCCCCAGGAGTGGGATTGCTGGATCATATGATTTCTTAAATAACTAACTTTAAATGTGAAGGAAATTAAGCTTATAATTATGTCCTTAGGATCAAAGTTCTGATCGTACCAGTCTTTCTTCAGTGGGAGCCCAGGATTCTGAATCTACCTCTTTGACAGATGAAGATGTTTGCCATGAGTTGGAAGGAGCCGCTTCTTCCCAAGAGAGCAGTACCACTTCAGGGACCAAGGGGATTGATCTCAGCCGGACAAGCCTGGGAAGTTCTGCCTCCTTAGAAGGTTTGTCCAGGCACTTCTGTCATACTGCATTTGACTTGTAGCAGCTTTGCTTTTTTACGATCTCATTTCTATTTTTTGTTTTATTTCTATCCCTAGAGGTAGCCATTTTTACTCAGTTTTGATTTATCTTTCCAGTGTTGCTTTTCTTAGAATAAAGTACAAGTATTATATATATATATATATATATATATATATATATATATATATATATCCTCATTATTTTAAATCTCAAAAGGTAATAGGCTATAAACTCTTTCCCATTCATTGCCTTCTTTTTTAACAAAATATCCTGAAGGTCATTCCATGTCATCACATAGCCATGTCCCTCATTCTTTACAGTGAGTAGTTCATATGAGTAGTCATACCATAGTTTATTTTAACCGCTTCCCGATGGACATTAGGCTTCCAGTCTTTGTAATGCTGCAGTGTGGAAGTGTCATGTTATACCTTTGCCAGTGTATCTTTAGAAGACACTTCCAAAATTCTTCCCTGAAGTGATATTTCCAAGTTCCTTCCCACAGGTGTGTACTAGTTTGGTTCCCCCTAGCATATGTGAAAATGCTTTTTTCCCCACAGGCTTGTCAACAAAATATGTTGGCAGAATTCTCAATTTTTGCCATCTGATAGGTGAGGAATGTAATTCAGTTTTGTTTCATTTACATTTCTATTATAAAAATTAAGTTGGGAGTCTGTCTTTAACATGTTTTCCTAGCTTTTCTATTTCTGGTGAACTGGTAGTTTACACTGTTACTTTTTGCATTGAAAAAGACTTTTTCATTATTTGTTTTTTCTAAATGATCTTTAATATTTTGGGTTTTTTTTCTTTTATTCGTATGTGCATACAGTGTTTGGGTCATATCTCCCCACCCTTCCCCCCAGATCTTTAATATTTTGAATCAAACAGGTTGACATTTCATCTGAGAATTTATGAAAGTAAAAGATTTTTGGGGGGGGAGGAGGGTGAGAGTGAAGTTTGAACTCAGCTTGAGCTTGCAAAGCAGGTGCTCTAACACTTCAGCCGCACCTCCAGTCCATTTTGCTCTGGTTATTTTGCAGATTGGGGTCTCATAAACTATTTGTCTGGGCTGCCCTTGAACCATAATTCTCCTGATCTCAGCCTCCCAAGGAGCTCGGATTGCAGGCAAGAGCCACTGGTGCTTGTCAAAAGAATGTTATATTGAAGTATTTATGGAAGTGAAAATTCTGTATTGTTTCTCATCAATTTTAATGTTGCTTCTCTTTGTTTTTAATAACAAACAGGATCCCTTTCAAAGTTCACCTTACTGGGAAATCAGAAGTGACATTCCCCTCAATACAGTAATACAAATATCTTCCAGAACTATGCAATGGAGGTACAGTTTTATTCAAAAGAGCATCTTTGTGTACTACTTTATAAAATATTGATGGTAGCTGTTAATAAAAGTTAAATATGTAGCATCTGAAATTTCATAATGTGAATCCCATCTGAATAAAGTTAAAGTCTGATATTTAGGTATCTATTATTTCACATTATTGAAGTCATGCTAACTTTATTAGCATAGTTCCATGCTTTCTTTGAAGTTTATCAGTATATGAAAGTTTTCATTTTCAGCATTTATATTTATTCCTTCTCATATGTATGTTCTCGTTAAACATTTATTTCTCACTAAAAATAAACAATGTTGCTGTGCAAGTGAACATTTTTGATGAGGGTATGGAAAGCAGTTTTGGCTTTATATTGTCAACTTCTTTGATGGTACTGGAATTTGAAGTCAGGGCTCCACACTTGCTAGGGAGGTGCACTATCGCTTGAGCCACTCCACCAGCCCTTTTTGCTTTAGTTATTTTTGAGACAGAATCTCACATTTTTGCTTTAGCTGATCCTTCTGTTTATGCCTTTTGCATAGCTGTGATTACAAGTACACACTACCACTTTCAGCTTTATTGGTTGAATTGGTGGGGGGGGGTCTCACTAACATTTTGCCCAGGCTGATCTTGAACCGTTGTCCTCCCAATCTCCACCTCCCAGGTAACTGGGGTTACAGGCATGAGTCACAACACCTGGCTTATGTTTTCAACTTCTTCCATCAGGTTTTTGTTGTTTGTGTCAGTTTGATAGCAGTATCTGTTGGGTACTCTGCCATACCCTATTTTCTTACAATGAAAAAGTTTATACTTTAAAATTTTTCCTGTAAAAATTTTAAGTGTGATTGCTATTTCATGCTACTTTACATAAATAAATTTACATATGGCTGGAAAATAAATGATAAACGCTGATGTTGTGGTTTACAGATTTTTTGTGACTTTAGGAATTCCTATATTTTATTAAGGTTAAAGTAATGACAGCATTTACAGTGATGCACCTTAAACTAATACTCTTGTAAAATACATTGATTACAGACTCAGATGTTACAGGTATCTAATCTTCTTCTCAATTGCTTTACTGATGACAAACCAGTGAGACTTTGTGGCTCAGCACTGGCCTGAAAGCTACCTGTAGGCAGCACTGATCTGTAGTTACAAGTACCTGTTTTGTGTATTGACAAATAAGTTCTGAGTTTACTTTTCCATTAATAAAACCATAGCAAATTTTATGGGAAAAATGTCACTTAGATGCAAGTTTCTCTTTTGTGCAAAATTTTGGATAGACTTAGCTGAAATGGTTGAAGATGGATATAATAACATACTGAATGTGGTTCATTTTTTTGTTTATAATGTCTGAGTCCTTCCGAGTTTTATTTTTTAGTAGATTTATTAATTGAAATGGTTTTAAATTCATAATATGCATTGTCTAGCCTGCTTTTTTATTCATTTATTCACATGTGCATACATTGTTTGGGTCATTTCTCTCCTCTGCCCCCCGCCCCCACCCTCTCCCTCCCCACCCTTCCCCACCCCCAACTTCCAGGAAGAACCTGTTCTACCCTTATCTCTAATTTTGTTGAAGAGAAGAAATGAGCATAATAAGAAAGACAAAGTGTTTTTGCTAGTTGCAATAAGGATAGCTATACAGAGAGATTCCTAGCATTACTTCCACGTACAAATTTGTTACAACCCAAGTTGATTCATGTCTAACTGATCTTTACACTGGTTTCTTATCCCCTTCTCTTGTAGACCTCTGTCATCTTAAGGTTTCTGTATTAGTTCCTCTGCAGTGGGGACATCAAGCACTTTCATGTTTTGAGTTTTCTACCTATTCCTATATCTCCTGTATGTGCTCTCCCCTTGTCATGTGAACCAAGTCCAACCACATTACTGCATTTACCCTAGATCTAAAGTCCGCATATGAGGGAGAAAATAGGATTTTTGGTCTTCTGAGCCTGGCTAACCTTGCCCAGAATGATGTTCTCCAGTTCCATCCATTTACTTGCTAATGATAAGATTTCATTCTTCATGACTGAGCAAAATTCCATTGTGTATAAATACCACATTTTCCTGATCCATTTGTCAGTAGTGGGGCATCTTGGCTGTTTCCATAACTTGGCTATTGTGAACAGCGCTGCATAAATATGGGTGTGCAAGTGCCTTTGGAGTAACGTGAGTCGCATTCCTTTGGGTATATCCCTAGGAATGGGATTACTGGATCATATGGCAGGTCTATGTTTAGATTTTTAAGACGCCTCCATATTGTTTTCCAGAGTGGTTGCAATAGTTTGCATTCCCACCAGCAGTGTATGAGGGTTCCTTTTTCCCCCCACATCCTCACCAACAGCTGTTGGTGATGTTTTTGATGATGGCTGTTCTAACAGGGGTGAGGTAGAATCTTAGTGTGGTTTTGATTTGCATTTCCTTTATGGCTAGCCTGCTTTATAAAGTGTCATCTTGTCTGTAGGTTCTCATCTCAAGCTGTTCTCGGTGTAGAACTTGTGATTGTCTTGTCCATGATGAGGAGATCATGGCTGGATGGACAGCAGACGACTCCAATCTCAATACCACCTGCCCATTCTGCGGCAACCTTTTCTTACCCTTTCTGAATGTGGAGATAAGAGATTTGAGACGACCTGGAAGGTAATAACATAGGCTTCTTTTCCTTTTTATGTTTAAGGATCATGTCTCCTAGAATATTTCAGAAAACTCCTTTGGTTCACATTCTAGGTACTTTTTGAAGTCAACTCCATCCACAGAAACTATGCACTTTTCGTCCTCTTTTTCAAGTCAGACAAGGCAGTCTTGCATTTCAACATCAGCCTCTGGTCTTGACACATCTGCTATCCCTATTCAAGGGAATTTTAATCTAAGTAGGTAAGTGTGATTATGTGGAACTATATTCTAACAGTATTTATTGCACATGTTTTAGATGTGTGACAGAAAAATCAACTGACCATTTCAAGGTTTAAATTTCTGTGAAAAATGTGCATGCTGGTAATCTCGGCACTCAGGAGACAGAGATAGAGGGGTTGTGAGTTTGAGGTCAGCCTGGGATATATTGTGAGATTCTGTCCTAAATAAATAAGTGAATGAATGAATGAGTTCTGTGACAAACAAATTCTTTAGCTAACTAAAATAATATGAAAATCTCTAATAGCCTAAGTATTTAAATATAAAACATCTATGATATTATACTTTATAATAATGTTTACCAAGAAAACATTGGGAACTGGTATAGAAACTATAAAATTAAACTAAAACTTACATAGCCTAGTACCAGTAATCTACACTTAAATGCAAAAACTGACTTCCATTTTGCAAAGGTGCCATATCAGCCATGGATAGCTGGACAGGTGAATCCATATTGGCAACTGCATATGGTATTGACAAGCTAATGTAACCTGTTGAATCCTAAATATTTAAACAGTAAAACCAAAAACCTGAGTGTGCACCTTCTTTCATGAAAATCTGTCTTCAACTGTCTTTTACTGGCCTGTGACTCCTAAAGGAATACATCCAGTTTTTCTACTTTGTATCCCCAAAGGCCAGTGTGATACTATATCAAAGTTATCTACTAAATGTGTTGAATAAATGACTGAGCCTTGACTATTTAAAGTTCACTTGATAAATAGAAAATTTGGCATAACTACTACACAAAAAATATATATCCTTTTTCCTAGCTGAAGCCTTGTAACATATTTTCAGTGATTTATTTTGCTGCATCCAATTCTGATTCTAAAAGGGGCATGGTTCTTCTAGATAAAATAAAGAAAATCCTAGACACTGATAATACTTCTTTTTTCAACACCCAAAGCAAATGTAAACTGCAGGAAAATTCCTGTGCCCGAAGTATTCAGATCCCTGCCAACAGATCAAAGACAGCCATGTCAAAATGTCCCCTATTCCCAGTGGCCAGGAGCATTGGTACTTATGGGCCCTTGGATAAGGAAGACACTGGAGGACAGAGAATCCTTCCTACAGGCAGCCTACCAGCTACTTTACATGGAGCAACAGTATGTACCTTGGTGTTTTTCTGATTGGTAAATGATTTCATGATTTTGTTCCTCTTGTCCTGAAAGCCTTATGAACTTCAATTTTATTATTGTCATTAAGACAGTTTTATAATTGTCCATGATACAGTTATATTACCCTTCTCTTCATGGAAATCATTCACAGAAATTTTTTTAAATAATTTAGTATTATTGTTTACATATTTGTCATTTGTGGTTTTTATTTATTCAACAGGACTCTTTAGGATTAGAATGGCACTTTCCAAGTCCAGATCCAGTCACTGTCCCATATCTTAGTCCATTAGTGGTATGGAAGGAGCTTGAAAGCTTGTTGGAAAATGAAGGTGATCATGCAATAACAGTGGCCGACTTTGTGGACCATCATCCAATTGTTTTCTGGAACTTAGTGTGGTATTTTAGGCGTCTTGACTTGCCAAGTAACTTACCTGGATTGATTCTTTCTTCTGAGCATTGTAACAAGTATTCAAAGGTATGCATGCTACTGTCATCATCAGTGTTTGCATATTCCTAATGATAAAAAAATATTGTTTTTATGCTATTTTTAATAACCATCTAATCTTTAGATAAGTAGAATTGTCTTTAACTGTGTTTACAAATAATTTTTCTTATAGTCTGGTCCTAGTTTTTAGCCTTCCCCTAATTTACATAAATCTGCTTAAATGTTTGTTACTGTTTCAAAAATTATACTGGCAATGACTCTTATAAGAAGGATTTGTGAGTTAACCCTACTTGTATTTCATATACCTCTTTCAAAAACAAGACCAACACGTTTTAGGAGGATATCTAGAATTTATATTGCAAGCATGTGCTACCATTCTCTTCATTCTTTTACTTTGAATTTTTGCTTAATATTTAGGCAATTAGCTTGTTAGTATTTTCACTAATTTTTTTCATTAATTTTTCTAGTGCTGGGGATCCCAAGGCCTCAGGCATGCTAGAAAGTGCTCTACCACAGAGCTACATCCTTGGCCTCCATTTCTATGAAAGTGTTTTACCCTTTCATATGCTATTACCATCACTAAAGGGCAAAGCTAAGTCAAGGAACTTTGTCTTCTCCTTGTGCTTCTTGTCTGTGGTTATACATGTGCTTTTGGTTTCAGTATATCTTAAATGAGTGAAAAAGGTGTTAATTCAGTCTTTGAACTGATAAAGAATGGGACTCCTAGGGCTGAGGATGTAGCTCAATGGCAAAAACACTTCGATCCCCAGCACTGGGAAAAAACAGAATTTGAATAGGACTCCTGGATTCTTTCTGTGGACTCCAAGTCATGAGCAGGGACAAGATTAGCCCTTCGTGGCACTCTTTCTTACTCAGGTACTTTGTTAAATCTGCTACCTTAGAGGTCATTAGTTTCTCAACTCAGCCTGTCTTCCTTTAGTAGATACCAAATGCATACAAACCTGTCAATTTCTGTTTTCTCTTTTCTCCTGTACATTCTCATCTGACAAAAAAAAAAAAAGATTATGAGGATTTTATAAAATATTTCCAAAAAAATACCATGTAAAGATCATGAATTTTTTTTCTACAACACAGATTCCTCGCCACTGTATGTCTGAAGATAGTAAATACGTTTTAATACAAATGTTATGGGATAATATGAAATTACATCAGGACCCAGGGCAGCCCTTATACATCCTCTGGAATGCCCACAGTAAGTACTATCCTAGAATGTGGACTTTGCTTCTCAGATAGAAATCTCTACTTGCTTTAAGTAGCTACACTTCTGTATAATGACCGTTTTACTATACTACTTTTTGTCTTACAGGTCAAAATCGTACTCTTTTGTTTGAGAGTGAGTGTTAACTTTTGATTTTTTTTAGTGCTACCATCTATGGAAGTCAAGTTCTTTTGGCATTTTTGTTTTTGGTTTGGTTTTTGAGGGGTGCTACACTGCGTATGTGCTGGAGGGTTAGTTGTGTTTTGTACAGTCAGTTTTCAGTACATTGCTTGTCCCAATTTCTTCTTTTACGTATTTTTATTTCCATCCCTGGCTGCTAATGTAGAATTTCCTTCAGGTGCTGTATTAAGGAAAACTGTTTTTAGTTATTGTCTGTTTGAGGTCACAGAAAGCTTTTAGGCTTATTTTTGTCTTTTTTTTTTTTGTAGATTTCTATTCCTTTATCTATGGCTTTTAATTTATTTGTAGTGCTTTGTAATGTCATTAACAGCTATCATTTGCTATTTAATTTATTTCTCCTTTCTACACAGAACATTTCCTTCATCTCCTGTTTTGTTCTTTTACAGCCCAAAAGTATCCAATGGTCCATTTACTGCAAAAAAGTGATACCTCATTTAACCAGGAACTATTGAAAAGTATGGTAAAAAGTATTAAGATGAATGATGTCTATGGACCCATGAGTCAGATTCTAGAGACACTGAATAAGTGTCCACATTTTAAAAGACAGAGGTAAGTCATTTTCTTACAGAGCATATCGCTCCTCAAAGCAGATACATCTTTTGGGCTTAGCTATTTTTAGTATATCACATGCTTATATTAGCATAAGACTTTGTATAGAGAAAGTACAGACTATATAAATACTAATATATTATCTATGTCTTTTCCCTCTAGGAGTTTATACAGAGAAATACTGTTTCTCTCACTTGTGGCACTGGGAAGAGAAAATATTGATATAGGTAATTCAGTATAACAAATATACAATATTAACATAGTGCAGTATAGTGTTTCAAAGTATTTTTATTGGTGGTCTTAATTATTAATATTAAGTCATTAATATTAGAAAATTCTTTGATTTTTTTTAATCTAATATAGAAGATATTTTGATACTTTAGTCATGGAAATAATAATAATGATAAATAATAAGTTAACCTTGGTAGGCCTCATACTGTAGCAGGTCTCTGTCACGTATTACCTCCTATAATTCTCCCAAAAGTCCTACAAAATAGGTACTGTTATCATTTTCATATTATTGAGGATTCTGAGGGTCCAAGAGGTTAAGTAACGTACTCTTGGTTTCCCAGAAACTAATAGAGCCATATTTAAACCAAGCAGTTGTAATTTCCAGTCCCATGCCTTAAGTATTATGTTGTACCACTAATGATATTAAGCCTGCTCAGAAAGAGCAAGGTAACTAAATATGTATTTTAGGGGCTCCCAAACTATTTTGGTCATCATCTTCTCCCAGTTACTGGACTTGGCCTCTTTGTTGTTGGTGTGTTTTGAGATAGGGTCATTGTATGTTACCCGTGCTAGTCTCAAACACCTGGGTTCAAGCGATCCTCCTGCCTCAGCATTACACTCAGCCATCCTGACCTCTTTTTTTGTTTTCTCTTGTTTTTACTCAAGGTTTCTCATTTGTAAGGTAGGTGCTGTACCACTTAAGCCAGGCCTCCTCCCCTTTTTGCTCTGTTATTTTGGTAATAAGCCAGGCCTCCTCCCCTTTTTGCTCTGTTATTTTGGTAATAGAGTCTCGCTTTTTGCCCAAGCTGGCCTGGACCATGATCCTCCTATTTCAAGCTTCCTGCAGTCTTTGGGATGATAGGTGTGTGTCTCCATGCTTGCTTTTTTCGAACCATGATCTTACCCATCTCAGCCTCCCAAGTAGTGAGGATTATAGTCGTCATTGAGCCTGGCTGGCTCAACCTCTTTTAGGTTTCTACTTTCAAGTCTTAAGAAAAAACAAAAATAGCCCTGGTAGGCAAAATGAAGAAAATTGGTGGTAGACCTAATTTAAATGGCTGTCACGCATTGAGAGACTCAGTAGAATTTTGGCATTCTGTTTAAGAATTTATAGGTTTGTGAATAGGTTGATGGAAATGATTATTGATACATATAATTCATCTGACTTGAGTGGTCTCTGACTTGGGGGCCCTACGTAAACCCACTCACCAGTTAATGAGAGAGTATATAGTTGGTCATGCTTCTATTAAATAGTTATTATATACTGGTCTTAACAAAAACTAATTCTTCAGGGCCAGTGCTTAACTTTAAAGTGAAATAGCTATATATTAGTGGCATCAGAGTTATGATACTAATGTACAATAAGCTTGTACACTATCATAGATTCCTCAGTCAAAACAGATAGAGCATGAGTAGAAAGCAAGGGCTTTCCCTCAAGTGCTGGCTTCCCAACAAGTTCACTGAGGTACGGGTAAGAGAGCAGTAGTTCTTGAGTAAAGCAGAAGGCTGAGCCCAGCTGCCCTGCTTAGGTATCCCAAGGGTTTATCAGGTGCCCTCTGGCCAGAAGTGATCTTGTGCCATGGGGCATTTATTAGCCTTCATGCCATGAGACCGGTTGTAGAATTTTGCAGCAGAGGTGTGTATAGGTGAGATGGCAGGCATCTTCTAGATGGAATTATTAGAGGAGTATGGTATTTTAAAGACAGAAACACTAATTAGAAAATGTGGTTTACAAGAAACTTGAACAAATGATTCTACATTCAACTGGAAAATGATCATGCAGGAATAGGTAGGAATTAAAAATATATATAAAAAAAAAAGCCAGTAGGGAATCGAAATGGTACACTAGAAAATATCTAGTTAACACAAAGGAAGGAAACCAGGCACAGTGGCTCATGTCTCTAATCCTAGCTATTCCAGAGGCAGAAATCAGAGTAGGTAGCCTAGGCAAAAAGTTCTTGAGACCTCATCTTAAAAGCTGGGCACCTTGTGCACCCCTTCATCTCTGTTACATGTGGGCAGCACAAGTAGTAGGATCATAGTCCAGGCCAGCCCAGAAATAAGCTAGAGATCCTATTCAAAAATAACAAAAGCAAAAAGGTCTGTGGCATGACTCAAGTGGTAGAGCACCTGCCTAGCAAGCACACAGTCCTGAGTTCAAACCTTGGTATCACCAAAAAAAAAAAAAAATGAAGAAGGAAGAAAGACATAGCACATATAGGGAAAAATAGCCAAATTGCAGTTAGAAGTCCTAAATTTATCAGTAATTGGGGAGAGACAGAGAGAGAGAGAGAGACTGACTTTAGATTAAAGATAAATAGGTAGAAGTTAAAGAACTTTTTAAAAAATGCTCCATTCAAGAAAGGATATCAGACAAAATAGATTGCGACAGAACTGTTATTGGAGACAAAGAACATTTTATAATGATAAGAGTCATCATCACCAAGAAGGGTAATAATTATAAAAATATGTACACCTTAGAAGAAAAAACACAGGCATAAATCTTCATGATCCTGGAATAGGACAATGGTTTGTCTTGACATCAGAAGCACAGAGGAGCAAATAAAAAGGTAATTTGGGTACCATCACATTAAAAATCTGTATGCAGTTAAAAGGACACTATCAAAATATGAAATAAAGCCCACAGAATAAGAGAAGACATTTTGCAAAGCATATATCTCATAAAACTTATATTCAATATATAAAGAACTTTCATGACTTGACAGTAAAAAGAAATAATCCATTTGCTCAACAGGTGTTGGCAAGGATGTGGAGAAATGGAGGCCTGTATATAATGCTGGTTAATGTAAAGTAACATAGGGCATAAAGACTAGAAACAGTCTGTGTCTCTTCAAAATAGTGAACATAGATTTTAGTGTATGAACCAGCAGTTCCACTCCTAGGTATACACGAGAGAATTGGTATATACTATATACCCAAGAACACAAATTTTTTATGGAAACTTCTATATGAATGTTTACAGCAACATTATTCATAATAGCCAAAAAGTTGGGGACCCAAATATGCATCATCACCTGATTAGTGGGGAAACAAAATACGGCATATTTGTACATATTTATTCATCTATAAAAATGAATGAAATACCGATACACACTACAATATGGGTTAACCGTTAAACATGTTTATCGAAAGAAGCCAGACCCAAAAGACCACATGACTGCATTTACATGAACTGTCAGAAAAGGCAAATCCGCAGTGATAGAAGGGAATGGTTGCAAACTGCTGTGAAGTTTCTTTTTGGTGAGATGAAATGTTTTGGGATTAGTGATGTGATTGTATGATCCTGTGACTGTGCCAAAAAACACTGAATTTTACATTAACATTGGTGAATTATAAGGTATATGAGTTGTATCTCAATTTTTAAAAGCTTTTTTAAGTAATAAAAAGAATTAGTAGGAAATAATTTTTAAAGACTCATTAGAGGGATTTGCCTTTGTGGAAGCCACTATAATTACACAGGATGATAAAAGTACAGGCAGTGCTAGAAAAGTCAGCAGGACTGAACAGAGTCTGAAATGAAACATAGAGCCATGGAAATGCAATACATGATAAGACCAGTTAGGAAAAGCAGACAATTAAATAGTGTGGAAGCAATCATTGTAACCAGTGGGAAAATGCTAGAGCTTACCAAAATCAGGAGTAATGTCCTTTCAGTTAGACCATTTAACCATGTCTGAACAGAGTGGCTACTGAGAGGGTTATACAGGTCAATTTACCTTCCCTTTATTCTCTGCCCAGCAGAAGCCCAGAGCACATTCAGATCTGACTCTAGCCCTCTGCATCCAGAGCAGGCTGGACCTTCAGCCTGGAGAAGCTGACTTGCTTGTGCAGTTGGAGGGAAGGTGTTCTGATGTCTGGTCATCCCCCTAAAGCAGAAATAGGGAACCTGAGTGACATTCAGACTTAATATCAAGCTCACTTAGATTTCTAAGGGCAGTTTTCTCTCCATGCTGTGCTAAAAATGAGTGGTAAATTAGCATGATTTCTAGACAGAAACTTTTAACAGAAGTTGTCAACTTGTATTCTCTCTGTTACATGTAGATTATGTCTGAGCAAAAAGCACACAAACCTTGATATAAATGTCTTTTTTTTCCCTCACTGATAATTGAATCCTAGGCTTATATTTGCTAGGCAAGCACCCTAAAACTAGATCTGTGCCCCCCATCCTTTTGTTTTTATTTTGTTTTTGAGATCATCACTAACTTTGCCTGGGCTGGTCTTTGAACTTGCAATTCTCCTGCCTCTGCCTCCCAAGCCTGGCTAATGTCCTTGATTGATAAAAGTTGGCTGAAAAAGGTAACTTGGTGCCTCAAGCACTTGCATGCTGGATTTATCCTCTTAGCCATGGAGCAATTTAATAAATAATAGACTGATAATAATAATTGAAATCAAAAGACAGTGTAGCTCCATCTATGTTCCATGGAGAAAAAAGGGGAAAGTCAGTACAAGGTGAATGTCAGAGATATTTGCATTTTTACCCAAGATTAATCCCATAGTTAGAATAATTTGGGCACAAATTTTCCATTGGAGCTAAAATTTAAATTAAAAAAATTAAACTACACGGTGCAGCCAAGGGAAAAAGTTAGTTGAGACCCCATCTAAGACCAACAGTTGGGCATGATGCCAGCATCTGTCGATGCAGCTTATGGGAGGCTGTTAGATAGAGGAGAATCATTGTGTCTGGGTTGCCCGATAGGTAAAGAACATGAGACCCAATCTGAAAATAACTAAAGCAAATAAGGTGTCTGGCAGGTTTGACTCAAGTGGAAGAGCAGCTGCCTAAGCAAGTGTAGAGGCCCTGAGTTCAAACCCAGTACGCCCCCCTCTCGGAAAAAATTAAACCATTAAAGTAAAGGAAATATGGGTAAGTTTTGTTCTTAATCCTGGTGGCGAAATTGTCATTATTAAGTATTGAAAGAAAGGTATAAACGTGTTGTATGGTGTTCAGTGGTTTTAACGTTCTACACTTGGTAACAGATGCTGAAAATTCAGCTAGTTCTAAATGCCGATGGACCCAATGTCCCCTTCAAGGTATGTTTGAATTGCAGAAATGTCCTTGACATGTCTTGGCCCCTGATTTTGTTAGTTCTGCAGTATGTATAGAAACATGATTGTGGGCAACATCAGACATTAATTTCTTTTTATGGCTTTATTTTCTTATGAATTTTTGCAGATGCATTGACCAAAGAGTACAAGATGGCATATGATCGTCTCAAACCTAGTCAAGTCAAGAGTACACCACAACTGCGATAGGACCACCAGTACCGGGGTGATGGAATGCCGAAAAAACCTTTGGAAGAGCCTTACCTTTAAACAGGGAGAAAGCATTTTTGTTGTCCCATTTCTTCATTCTTTTTTCTTTACCTCCCTGTAACAAGTAATTATTTTGTGATGAGGAAATCAAAAGGGATTGCTGTGAAAATAAGACAACTTTTTTATGGTTGGAAAAAATCATGTATAAACTTAGGCAGAAATGTAAGACTAAAGACCTCCTCTTTTCATAGAGCTGTTCAGTTTCTCACCAGGAGTGTTGATGTATACATATTTTAAATTGTTTATAGTTAAGTTGAGATTTTTTAATTTTTAAAATTTAGATATAGCAAACTTAAAATGAATTTGAACTTATGAAGCAAGGTTATTTGTCTGCTGCTATTTGGAAGTATAGTACAGCTGCAGATCTCTCATATATATATCTCTATATCTATTTTTATTACTTGGAGAATGACTTAAAATGTCAGTGCTAGTCAGTGTTTTGTCTAGGATTGCATGTTAACATCCCAATAAACTTTGTGGAGCGATCACGAAGGGCAGTGCCCAGACCAACTCACTGATCCTGTGCGGGAGAGTCAGGTGGCTCACTATGTCATGATTCCATAACCTCCTCTACTGCGTAATATTGTACAATACACAGGGAAGATACTCACAATCCAAAATCAATTTAAAATTTAATATCTACGCTTGGGAACTATGGTAACAATTGACTCTATTCCAATTTCATCCTTATTTAATATCTAAATGTTGGTGTGATCAACATTGTAGCTATAAATATTTATCTGAAATATGGTTTACTGGTATTCTGTTAATACTATATATAAAGATTCAAAGTATTTTTGAAAGTAAAACCAGTATCCCTCTGAAAGTTACGCCAGATAGAATTTCCATATTGAGGAACCTAGCTTTTCAACAGACTTCAGAATCTGAATTTATGGAATCTAAAACACAGAAATATCCATAAATTAGACAATAAATGAATGTTTAAACACCATGAGTATTAAAATTGACTTTGAAATATGTCTTAGTCATTTGTTTCTAATATCACTTCTTTGGGTAATTTCTATAAGGAAAAAGCATCCTTGGCCTTTAGAATTATTACAGATTTTCAGTAAATATTATATCTACATTTGCACAGATGTCATTATTGAAGGAAGTCTCTAGCCATTTAAAGAAAAGAAAAAATGGTCCAAACTGTATAATAAAGCCAGTAAGCATAGAGACTTACTTGTAAGTACCTTGCGTCCCAACT